GAGGGAGAGTTCGTCCTCTCTCTCCTCAAAGGCACTGACAAAGTCAACCCAGCAGATCTCTTCAAAATCAACCGTGAAACATGAACCAGAAAGCACACGAGGAGAGGTAAAACTGAGAACAGGAGGCACGTAATAACACAGAGGGATGTGGGAGCATGCAACAAGCTCCCCAGCCATGCAGCCAACACCTTGGTTTCTTTCAAGAAACAGCTGGATAAAATCCTGAGATTGACTGATTACTGCAGAAACAACCAAACAGGCTGGATCGCCTCTTCTCATTTGTGACCTTTCCCACGCTCTCAGAAGAGAGGACACAACCTCATATCACCCTGGGAAAGTAGAGGAGCAGGGAGTGCACACAGGTGGCTGACATCTCCACAGCCTGAGGACACATACTGTATCTGGAAGTTGTGAAAGCCCTCGCAGAAAATATGACCCCATCAAAGTACGATACTAGGAATAAAATTACACCATGGGGTCAAACACCCCCCGAAAAAAAAAGATCATGTCAATTAAAATGAAGCTGTCACTTACAGTATTGCACGCTAAAATGAGGGTGTCTCCGTCAGGGAAGAGCTTGAAAATTGCAAACGCAGGACCGCAGTAAATCTGGCAGAGACACGTGGGTTTACAGAGGGGTAGCAAGTTTCTGGTGCGTCTGTATTTAATTCCGTTAATCCCAGCATTGCTTCAAGGGCTACAGGCTTCCCAGAAGACACTTACATAACCTGGCGACAGATGGCACCAGGAACGTGTAGAGAGTAAATCACTCTTGAGAGGGCTACGAGGAGAAGAGGGGACGGACAGGGGAAATCGGGAGGGAGTCGGAGCAGACGCCGACCGCACTGGGAGAACAGGAGCCCTGCGTCATCGCTCCAGCTCTGATCGCTCTTTCCCAGCGCTCCCACACCTCGAGAGAGGTCTCTGGGGCCGAGAACTAGGGCCCGATGTGTCGGCCGAAAGAATGGAAACACACTCACACAGCTGCTGCAGCAGGAGACAGACTGGACACTGGGGCCCTGCGCGCTCATCAGAGCCCCGTTAGCAGAGGGGACTCAGGATGACCGCGGGCATGGGGCGTGAGGTCGGGGGGCACAAAGACGCACGGGTAGGGTCTGGGCAGCAGAATAACGCCAGAGCTCCACAGGCACATAGGAGACACCAGCCGCAAGGGCTGCGGGAGCCCCATGTTCCACTGGGGAAGCAGCTGGGAAAAGAGCTCTTTCCCAGAGGAAGAATACAGCCCTTTAGAGACAGCACACTCATCATCATTCTGTACTCTCACCCCCTTGAACTGGGAGTGTGGACATCGCTCGTGAGTGACTAGGTTTTGCTAAAAGGCAGTTTTTAGCTCACTGCCTAGGTTATCCAGTTAGGAAAGCCCTGCAGACAGAACCCCAAGCTCTGCTTGGACCCAGTAGGTCTCAGTGATCTTTAGCAAGTGGTAGCAGTGTGAGGAGATAGGCAGCAGTGAATCCACATCCCATGCCATTCAATACGAAATACCGCAATACAAGACCACAACCACACAACCACTAACAATAAGTGTGAGGGACTGTTAGGCAATTTGGTGAGGGTCACCTTCGTGTTAAAAAAAAGATTCAGGCACCAGTTTACTCCAGTACTTTATCACATCACACTTCTCCTTCAGGGGAGATGCTAAAATGCCCTTTTTTACACAAGGAGTTGTGGGAGGATGGAACAAACTCCCCTGCCATGTTGATGAATGTCCATGACCTGCATTTCACTCAAGAAGGTTCTGTTCCCCCTGCCCACCAAGCCAAGCCCAGAACCTCAGAGTCAGAGGAAGGGAGGTTCATCACCTACAGGAGGCGCTCCAAGGGCCAGGAGTGACGCACACACACAACCGGAGTTAGCAGTAAGGATCCCTTTATATAGCAGTTTGATCCATTTTAGCTGCCATGGGGATCTAGCAGACATTGCAACTGATTAAGCCAAAAATATACTTAGTATTGTCTTCACTCCCACGCATTTATCTATACAAATTCAATCTCAACAAGGTATGCAGCTGCAGTCTCCAGCACCCACACCTGACCTACAGCAGCCTATAAAATCTGGAACGACTCGAGCAGCTCTGCACGGGAACCCTGGTTGACACCCCTGCTGCGCTCTGGGTGCCTCACTTACTGCAGAAAGAAGTCAATGCCCGTTTGGCTTCAGAAAAACACTAGACTAATTCTGAGCAAGCGGCTCCTGTTTGTAGGTTGCCTGAGCACTTGCAACACTGGAATCACAGCCCACACACTCTCGGCTGCCTCAGAGCCTCCTATTCTTAGCGCAGGCTGCACCAGCAGGCCGGGGTCGGTGCTGTGGAACGACCCACTTTAAATACGCCAGCTTCTTTTTCAGAGTCCAAGACAAGCGGCACACGGGACTGACAAACTGCCCCTCTTGAACCCCCACCCACAGCTCTGACTCACCCTGGAGAGGCTGCTTAAATGTGAGGCTAATATAATTCCTCGACGACAGCACTGGAAACGCTGTGCTCCAGGCTGGCTCAGGCCCAGCTAATCCCATTCACAGAACTACAGAACCCGACATCACAGACCCGGGCAGTAAACCGCAGGACTCCCAGAGACACGCTGTGCTATCGTGCTGGACAACCGTTACTCACAGTGCAAGCCAGAAAAGTTCAAAGTCAAATTAAAGAGGTTAGGGAGTATGCCGTTGGAGAAAAGAGAGAGCAATAAAATGTTAGTTTATTACCAAAGAAGTCAGGGGTGTGGGGGAGAGAGGGCAGACAGTTCCAGGAAAATGAAATTTGCAAGTTTGTTGCTTTCCATCTCATCTTTGCTAATCCCTCCAAATTGCGGCCAGGATGCCAGACTGTCTGAGCTGTCTGAGTGACCGGGTGTGGATGAGGAGAGAACCCAGGCCTTACCCTAGCGTTGTCATGGTGACGATGGTGTACCAGAACGCGGCCGGGATGCTGGTGAAGTTTGTGCCCTTGGTCCCTTTCTCGGCGTAGAACATGACGGTGGCGAAGATGATGATGGCCATGGTGAGGGAGAAGAGCAGGAAGCCCAGCTCGGAGGCGCAGCTCTTCAGGGTGTAGCCCAGGATGCGCAGGCCCTGCGAGTGGCGCGAGAACTTGAAAATCCGAAAGACGCGGAAGACGCGCAGGGTGACGAAGGCGCCGCTCACGTCCTCGTTCTCGGGCATGACCAGCCCGATGTAGTAGGGCATGATGGCCACCACGTCGATGACGCTCATCACCGAGCGCATGAACTTGCAGCGGCTCGGGGCGGCGAAGAGGCGCATCAGGTACTCGAAGGTGAAGATGAGCACGCAGGCCGTGTCCATGCAGAAGAAGGCCAGCGAGTACTTCTCCCCGCAGGGCAGGTCCTTCACGCGGCCCTTGGGCGGGCGGCAGGGCACGGTCTCCACCACGTTGGCGATGACGGAGACGGCGATGAAGAAGCCGGTGACGTAGTAGAAGACCAGCGCCATGGTGCTGGTGTGCGGGTTCTCGAACGCCCTCCACAGCCGCTCGCGGGACGTGCTGTCGGGCGGCAGGGGCGTGTCCGTGGCCATCTCGGCCTCCGTGTCCTCCGCCAGCCGCTCCAGGTTCTCCTTCTTGCGGTCGCGGTACTCCTCCATGCAGCAGTCGCCGATGATCTCGGGGACGATGCCGTAAAAGGCCAGCTCCTCGTCGAAGGCCTGGATGCACTCGTGCCGCGGGTAGTGGAGCTTGCCGGTCCGGTAGAAGTTGAGGACGTGCCGGAACATCTCCGGGTCCCGGTCAAAGAAGTACTCCTGCGTCTCCTCGTTGAAGAAGAACTCCTTCTCCGAGCTGCCCAGCAGGGTGTCGGGGTAGCGGTCCAGGGTGTTCTTCCAGGTCTGGAAGCGCAGCCCGCTCACGTTGACAAAGAGGATCTCGTCGTTCCGGCTCTTCTTGTCCACCGGGGGCTTGGGCATGGACTTCTTGGCCAGGGGCAGCCAGCCCACTGCCGCGGCCCGGGCAAAGGGGAGCCACGTGGCCACGCCGGCCGCCATTCTGGCTCGCTAGCAATGTCTTCGGAAAGACGCGTTAGGTTGGAGTTGGCAAGAGGTGCCGTGGATCAGGCAAGAACAGGGAAACCCGACTCTGTACTAGACGTTCCCCAACTGAAGGGAAAACCAACGGCCCTTTGCACTCTGGTCATCCGAGCTATGAAGAGTCAAGAATGCCGTCTGGTTTACACTACGAAGCTCTTGTCCCCCTGAAGAACCAGGGAGGCAATTTCACCAGCGGCAGAAGGGTGCTCTTGTCTTCATGAAGGGAGCCCTGGTGAGGACTGAAGCCCGCTGGGAAATCTGCACAGCTGGCTGGGCCATCAGCAGCGCCAGAACTCACACATCTGGAATACCGCATCCACACAGATCCAAAGAGAACTGCTAAAATAATTTTGACAACAAAAAAAAACACACACACTGGGAAGACCTTGGGAGAAACGCTTCTGGTCCTCTGCAGACAATTCCAGTCTCTCTTTCTCTCTCTCTCTGTCAGAACGCAAATGTGATGCAGTCCTGTGGCTTTCAGATTCACATTAAATTGTGATGATGGTTTCAGGAGTTGCAAGATAGACAATTTTCCCTCTCTCACACTCCTCCCCTCTCGCTCTTTCTCTTTAGATCTTCGGCCTTCAATGTGTGGGAGTCCCTCTCTCTCCAGTCCTGACCGTGGGGGGGGGGGGGCTCTCTCTACTAAAATTACAGCTCTTGTTAGGCCAGAAGCTTGGAGTTTAGGCCACTCAATTCCTTGTATGGAGTTCCTTTAGCACGCCTGTCAAAATAGGCAACACACACGTTAGAGACTGTGCAGCACAGGATTTGACAGGGGCGAAAGAGCTACCCTCTCTGCTTTGCTATCCTGTTTAAATAGACCACGAAAAAGAAACAGAGGCTTCCGAATGAGCAACAGGACAGAACTGATTGGGATGCAACAGTGGTGAAGGCTGTCCCTGACGTTTGTGAAAACAGGCGCACTTTCATAGTGATGTCAGTTTTCATCTATTTTGCACGACTTTTTTTTCATGTCCAAAAACTTTACCAAAAAAAAAACATTACCAAAGAAAGTTTGAAATGCTAAAATAAAATTGACTGCCTCAATGCTACTGCTAGTAAAATGATGTGCGACGTGTCTTGAATAAGGCAACGTGTGATACACTAAATTCAATCTTAAAATCCATCGGAGATATAACTGAAATAAAACATTTTAACAATACACGTAACAACAGCAATCAATTATCAGACATTGTTGCACACCTCAAACAGGACCAAAGGTCAGTGTTCACCTGCTGCTGACATTAGACAAAGTTGAACAGCATCACTTTTTCATGCATGTCTGCTAAAATAACAAACACAGCTTGCAAACTCTCAAAAGCCCGGTCCCCTGTTCCCTGCAGAGCGCCTGTCCTGTCCTGCACGATGTTTTATTCTTCACAACACCTGTAAGTGCAAATGATCCACAGCAGGACAACCGCAACAAAAGACGGAGAAAATCTTTTTCGTTCCTTTGCTTCGAGCACCGAAACCCCAGAAAACGCTGCATTGCTCCCTGCAGCTGTTGATAACATTTGCTACGTGAAGCGCATGCATATACTGGCATCTGCACATGAGATAATCCCACAAAACAAAACAAATAAATCCCTCCGGGCTCCACTTCCAAACTTTGCAAGGTGGAATTGCCGCAAGCAGTGGTCTTGCTGACCGCCAGGCAGGGTGCAGAAGCTCACCGTCTCCCAGCGGCTGGGCAGTCAATAGACTGCTTCCGATTCCAGGGGGGGATCAATGGGAATACCTGGGAGAAGCATTCCCAGAGCATCCCCAGCGTGGAAAGCCGGCAGCGTTACAAGGATGCGATTCTCGAGCAGGACTTGGCTCCGCACCGAGCCAGTAGAGGACTGTAGCGCAGTGCATCCTCTGTCTCAGCACCTGTTTTCAAAGGTGCCACTTGAAATATGTCCCAGTCCCGGCAAACAGGGGAATCTCAATGTAAACTGCTACTGCAGCCAAGCCATAAAAAAGCACTTAGTTAAACTAGATTTTGTTTCATGCAAGGCAATCAATTGATGAAGACAAAGGCATGCTTTTTGCAACCTACCAAGCTGTGAGCTAATGCATATGTATATGTAAAACATTTTTGTATACATGTAGGAATATACAATGCAGTAGTAGATAAGATACAATGCAGTAGTTTTACCTTTAAGTAATTTTTGTCAGTTACCTTGGAAAAAAGCTGGAGACACATGGGGTGAAACTGTCCAGTTTGGAAGAAGAGAGGAGAAAGAAAAAGTATCTTTAAAAAAACGAAGGCAGAAGCCATCCCTCTTCCGCAATCCTATCATATCCTACATAGAAAGTGCAGGAGTGAATCTCATCCTCTGTTCCAGCATCTCTCCCCTCTCTCTCTCCTTCTCGGCTCTCCTGCTCGCTCGCCCTCTCTCTCTCTCTCATTCGCTTTCTCAGCCGCCCCTTCCAAGCGCACACACACACATACGCACGCACACACACTCCTCGCTCTCCCTCTCTCGTTCTCTCACAGTAGCGCTCAAGACACCATCGGAGCAGACAGACCCTCTCAGACAGAGAGAGAAAAGAAGTGATGTTTACAAACATTCTGGGTTTCTAAGATCAGCAGAGGGGTAAAGGGAATGCAGCAGGATATTGGTTCAGTGAGCCTTAGCAGACCTGCTTCATGCTTCTTGTAGGCTCTTGTTAAGATGTAGTAGCGCAGTAACATTATATATTCGTGTTTAAGCTTTCATTACAACCTGAGAAGGAGGATATTATTCAGAGTGCAGCCAAAACTGCACTGGTGATTAAGAACAAAAGCCACACAGCCCCCTATTGAAAACGACAGCGCCCCCTCTTAATGGTGAGAGCTACGCCTTTTCTCTCCTGGAGAAGGACGCAGAGCACAAACTCTGTACAGTGAATAAAAACCATTGCAGCCTGCAAACACCCAGAGTGCCGGAGAAGCTACACAAAACACAAACACTGCTGTATTCATTGCTCAGTATTAATTATTCACACAGGACAGCTCCATTCATGGCTTCTGAGCACATTCGCCTGGCCTTCCTGACGGGAGCCCCGGACTGGAATCTACGCTCTCTCACCGCAGTTCCAGCCAATCCAGCGTCTTCCTCTGTTGCAGGATAATGGGATAATTGATGAGAGTGTGGCGCAAAGTATTGCACAGCCCCAGCTTTCAGGGAAACAGCGCGCTCCGCCTCAGGTTCTGACACTCTGGCTCTGCAGGAAAACGAGAGACTTGTGTGGCTGGAGACCAAACAGACAGACAGGACGACCGGAGTGAATATTGATTTCCTGTGGAATCACCAGTCCTTTTACAAAAGCAAACGTAAATAAGAGAGGGATCCAAATGAATAAATTAGTCAGCACTGCCAACTAGAAGGACAGGGTGCACCCCCCCCTAAAAACGTTAAATGGCTAATTGATTCCTGTATTTGAAAGCCAATTAGGTGGCAATGTCTATAGTTCTTTAACTGTGATCAACAGCTGCCCGTGAATTGTGATCTCTCCAGCAGGGCCGCTGGTTTTACTTTGCCAAGAAGCAGTGAGTGAAAAGACTCCAGAGTGAGCTGGTTGGAGTGCCCCACACTCTGGTGACACAGCATGCACGCCCTCTTGTTGAGACACAACACACTTCTGCAGCCCCAATCCCTCTGCTGCTCTCTCTGTGTCTCTTCTTGACCAGATCTGCGTTGCTGTGTCGCTGTGCTAGAAGGGTAGGAGCTCCCTGCAAAAAAACATTTGCATCAGTGTGCATGTCTCAGAATGATGGCTCATTCTCTCACATCAGTCTGTTCCCTCCATGAACCTGCTGTCCCTGCGGTTTCTACAGTACATTGCAGGTTAGGTGCTGCACGTTCCTGTCTCTTTCAAAACTGCACCCGATTCTCTCTCTCGTACATTGAGTGTGCCGTGCAGTTCGCAAGGAACCTGCGGCGTATGAGGGCGTCGCCCATAAGGGGTCAAAGCTGAGGGAGAAGTGGAAGGAGCTTGCCAGTCTTCACCAGAGGGGACAGAAAAACTAAAGGAGCTTGTAAGCTAGTCCAT